TCACACTTGGCGTTGCTGGCCTAGGATTTAAAATTGAGACTCATTTTTGTAGAACGAGTAGCCCAAGTAGGTTAACAGGGATAAAAAACAGTGGCCGGCTAGTCAACTTCAATCAAGATCAACGGGACGGTCTTCGGGACGCCATCATCACCAGAGACTGTTTGAAAACATGGAGGACATTCAGGCCATTTTAACCCAGGTACAACAGCTTCAGGCTGAAAATGAACAGTTAAGGGCACAGATGGCGCAACAAAGCACAGAGCCACAAGCAGGTCCATCAAGTGGCAGTGGTGGCTCTGCTTCAGCATCAAATGTCACTTTCCCTTCAGTGACTGTACCAACCCAACTTGTATATGTGCCAAGAGAACGTAAATGTGCAAAGTTTTCTGGTAAATTGTCTGTTGATTTGATAACTGTTGAAAAATGGATAGAAGAGGCCCGTAGGTGCATCACAGGTAGACATATGTCAAATGCTGAACAGATTCTTTTTTTGTATGATCACCTAGAGGGGAGCGCTAAAGCAGAGCTTGATTTCCATAGTTCAGGGAAAGGGATACTGCAGAAAAAATATTTGCCATTCTTACAGAAAACTACAGTTGTTCCCAGTCCTATGTGGTTGCTCAGCTTCAATTTTTTCAACGCAGTCAGAGAGAGGGGGAGCCTTTGAGAGAATTTTCGCATGCCCTTAAATCACTGATGGACATTGTCATAAACAAAACACCAGGGGGCATTCCAAATTCTGACCAAATATTACGTGACCAATTTGTAGAGCAAGGACAAGATGATTTGTTAAGAAGAGAACTGAAACGTCAGATCAGTCAAGACCCAACGGTCACTTTTACTGCACTACGTAATATCGCCATCAAATGGCGAGAGAGGGTCGGAACCCAAGTAAACTAAGGCCCCGCGCCTTTTCTTGCACGGCGCACTCTGACTCTGGAAATACAACATTGGCACAAAGTAATGTAATGTCAGTACAACCCTCTACAGAACTTGGAGAATTAAAAGAATGCCTGCTAAAACAACAAGCACAGTTGGATGCCATTATGAAACACATTGGCCTCACCCATGACCCCCAAGCGCCCCCCAGAAGGAAAGGGAACCCAAACCCTATCGCTTTGACTCAAATGGAAAACCCATTTGTTTGCGCTGCAATAAAGCTGGGCACATAGCGCGCTTTTGTAGGTCTCAAATCCCACCCGCAAATACAAATAAGCATGTGTCTCAGGCAACAGTCAAGTGCAATGATGTAGCAGAGTCCCAAACATGGCTGCAGGAAAACTAGCGCCCTCTGGTGTGGAGAGCCAAACACCAGAAGGGGGGAGCTCAGGCTCAAGCAAACTAATCGGTGAATGCCCAGTTGTTGATGTTAAAATGGGGAGGACTAGATGTCTCTTGCCTACTGGATACAGGCTCAATGGTCTCCACAATAACTGAACACTACTTCATGGAGCACTTTAGGTCAAAGGGCGAGGATAAATTGAAGCAGTGCAACTGGTTACAGCTTAAGGCTGCAAATGGGTTATCCATTCCCTACATCGGGTATTTAGAACTCGATATCACTGTCCTGGGTAAACATCTTCCTCGTATGGGAGTCTTAGTGGTTAAGAGTCCCCTAGACCCTGATCTCAAAAACAAAAAAGGTCAGTTCCTGGTCTGCTGGGTTATGAATAAATCAGCAATGTTACAATGAACTTTTTTGTCCAATTAGGCCCCGAACTTTTTGAGTTTCCCCCAATTAAATCAGCTGGCCCGGCTTGGAAAGAGCACTGACACAGTGCCAATCCATTGAGTCAATCAATGATGGATACCTGGGTATCGCAAAGGTGGTGGGCGATCAGTGTGTGTACCAGCTGGCTCTTTAAAGTTTATCCCTGTTGTATGCCCAAACACTGCTAAGACCATACTGCCCTCAAGTGTTGCTGGAGCCCCCAGAAGAAAACCGCCTCCCAGCGGAGTGTTGGTGTCTAAATCTCTCTTGACTATGGACAGGGGAATAGTAGAGATACCAGTTGTGAATGTGGCTGTCATGATGCCTGGCTAAAACCCCATATGGCTCTGGGCTCATTACATGTGGTGCAGACAAAATCACACCCAGTTCCAGTGACATTGAAAATGAAGGGGGTGGCCACGTGGCAGTATTGCAAACTAACTATGTCACTGATGGCACAACCTTAGACTTTCCGATGTGTCATGGCCTATCCTAACAGCAGAACAACAACGGCTGGGACAAGCTCTATTGGCTAAATATTCAACTGTTTTAGCCAACGAGAAGGGGACCTGGGTTGTACCAATTTGGTTGAACATGAAGTACCCTTGTTAGACGATGTCCCCCGTACGTCAGCGCTATCGGAGACTTCCTCCCTCCCAGTATGAAGAGGTAAAAGCCCATATTCAGGAGCTCTTGAATAGTGGAATTATTCAGCAGAGCTGCAGCCCATATGCGTCCCCCATAGTGATTGTGCAGAAAAAGGATGGGAGCATGAGGATGTGTGTGGATTATCGCCTCCTCAATGCTAAAACCAGGAAGGACGCTTATCCCCTGCCGAGAATCGAGGAGTCATTAGACTCCCTGGGGGGGGCCAAGTGGTTTTCTACACTCGATCTGGCGAGTGGATATAATCAGGTGCCCATTGCTGAAAAGGACAAGGCCAAAACTGCGTTTTGCACCCCATTTGGGCTTTTTGAGTTCAATAGGATGCCTTTTGGATTGTGCAATGCACCGAGCACATTCCAACGCTTAATGAGCGCATTTTTGGTGATCAGTCTTTCCAATCACTCCTGTTATATCTCGATGATATCATTGTGTTCTCATCATCTTTTTTGATCACTTACAGAGACTGGAACTGGTTTTAGCCCGTCTACAACAACACCACCTGAAACTGAAACTAAAAAAATGTTGTTTTTTTCCAGAGCCAAGTCAAGTATTGGGCCATGTTGTATCCTCAGAAGGTGTGGCTACCGACCCGGAGAAAATCAATGCGGTGGCACAGTGGAAACGTCCAACCACAGCCACAGAGTGCAGTCGTTTCTTGGTTTTGCCTCATATTATCGTCCGTTTTGTTGAGGATTTTCAAAATTAGCTGCTCCCCTACATCGTCTGGTGTCTGACGTGGTTGGGAGCAAACATAAACCCAAAGGCCAGCGAAGTCCTCCATTGCAGACAGATGGGATAGATGCCTGTGAGCAGGGGTTTTCAGTCCCTAAAAGAACACCTTGTCAGTGCCCCCAGTTTTGCCTATGCAGACTTTGTAAGCCTTTTGTCCTTGAAATTGATGCAAGTCATGCAGGCCTAGGTGCAGTTCTATCACAAGATCAGAATGGAAGCGAAGGCCTATAGCATTTGCCAGTAGGGGGCTCCGACCACCAGAGCGAAATATGTCAAATTATAGTTCCAGAAAACTTGAATTGTTGGCTCTCAAGTGGGCTGTAACTGACAAATTTAAGGAGTAATTGCTTGGTAATAACTTTATAGTTTATACTGACATAACCCCTTGAGTTACCTAAGACTGCTAGACTGGGAGCTGTAGAGCATCGTTGGGTGTCTGAGCTGGCTGCATTCAATTTTGAAATCAATATCGCCCTGGCAGCAAACAGAAATGCAGATGCCCTTTCCCGCCAGCACCCAGGTCCCCCCCCAACCATTTGTTGCCCTGCATACAAGTTTCCCATTACCGTTCATGAATCAACGCCACGTCTCACACCTTCCCCATAGTGGCGGCCATATTCCGCACGCGAAAAGGCTGATTTGGGAACTCTGCAAGAGGCGGACAAAGTACGTGGAATATTCAACATACGGCAGCGCCTTCAAAACAAGAACTGATGAGAGAGCCCAAAGAAGTCAAAAAACTTGCACAACAATGGCATAGACTTTGTATGAGAGAAGGTGTGTTATACCGCTGTTATAGACCACCAAAGACTAACAGTGAAGTGTTTCAGGTGCTGCTTCCAGAATGTCTCAAAGGAGAGGTGTTAAAACAGCTCCACGATGATCATGGGCACCAAGGGGTGATCGAACCATTCAACTGGTGAGAGAAAGATGTTTTTGGCCAAACATGTGGAAAGATGTGGAAGAGTACTGCCGTAATTGCAATCGATGTTTAATGGCAAAGGCAAATCATCCCAAGATTAGAACATTCCCCTCTAACATTGTAGCATCACAGCCCTTGGAAATGGTAGCTGTAGATTTTACAAGGTTAGAAAAGGCCTCCGATGGCAGAGAAAATGTCCTGATCATCACTGATGTATTCTCAAAATTTACTCAAGCTTTTCCAACCTCCGACCAGAGGGCCAGCACCACCGCAAGAGTCTTAATAGAGAAGTGGCTATATGTTTATGGAGTCCCAAAACGCATACATAGCGATCAGGGAAGGAATTTTGAGAGTGACCTCTTAAAACAACTATGCAGAATGTATGGAATTGAAAAGACAAGGACCACACCTACCACCCAGAGGAAATGGACAATGTGAACGGTTTAACCGTACACTCAACGATTTGCTCCGTACACTTCCCCCGGAAAAAAACGGAAGTGGCCCCAACAGTTGCCGCACCTCCTTTTTCATACAATACAACAGAACATGCCTCCACCGGATATTCCCCCCATGAATTAATGTTTGGACAAAAGCCAAATCTGCCTGTCGACTTCCTATTGGGCACAGCTGTAAACGTTGACACTGGTAACATGAACGAGTGGATAGTGGAGCACCATTCCCGACTAGCAGCTGCACATGCACACGCAAGAAACCAGTTGGAAATGGCGGCCGAGCGCAGGAATAGACTGGTAGTCCCCAATGCGACAGAAATACTGGCCCCAGGTACACTTATTTTGAAAAGAAGCGATCCTCTGGGACGAAATAAGATTCAGGATGTGTGGGGATAATACAATTTTTGAGATTGTGAACTGTTTGGATGATAGAGGTGCAGTATACAAAATAAGACCAGCAAACAAACTTGGTCCAGAGACAAATGTAAATAGAATGGAAATCAAAGTGTATCCTTGTATGTACCCAGTTCCAGAACCTCCATCACCCCAGCCATCTCCCCCACCACTTGTATCAGCGGGCAGCTCCATTTTGGACGACGAAAGTGATGTGGGCAGCGAACTAATGGTTGCCTGGACACCATTGCAACAGGCCCCTGGGCCTCCTCCGCCGGCCGCCCCTGGCCTCCTCCGCCGGCCGCCCCTGGGCCTCCTCCGCCGGCCGCCCCTGGGCCTCCTCCGCCGCCGCCCCTGGGCCTCCTCCACCAGCCGCCCCTGGGCCTTCTCCGCCGGCCGCCCCTGGGCCTCCGCCTGCAAGTCCCCCCTCTCAAATACGACGTTCAGCAAGACCAACTGCTGGACAGCACCCAAACCCCTTCAACCTGCCCCGTCCTGCCCATAGTCAGGCGGCCCTAGCCGCTCGGGTCAGAGGCCAGGATGTGTTTACATTCAGATCATGGAGGTGAAAATCTGAACTCTCACCGGGACGGTGAACTTTTAAAGTGGGGGTGAGTGTGACAGGGCAACAGGAAACAGGAAATGGTGGGAGGGGCAAAGATTTCAAAATGGGGGGAGAGGGAAATCAGGGCCTTTCACTCAACCCACACCATGCAGTGAGCATGAGGGCAGCTGAGCCAGGGGGAACAGCGCAGTCTTAAAAGGTGAATATCACACATGAACTGTTTATAGAACTATATAGTGTGTAGATAATCGCACAACTCTCTCTGTAGGTGAAGTAAGCCAAGTGGAGAGTCCACAGCTTCATGTGGTGTTAGCCATGTTTGGGAGGGGTGTCTGGAGAATCAAAGGTGAATAAACTGTCATTGATAAATAGGTTATTCTGTGTATTAACTTGAATCAAATACAATCTTTGACCATAGGTTAAGTTACCTGCAGGCCTCTTTATCCCGCGTGTCTGGAGAATCAAAGTGAATCCAAACACGGCACTTCAAGCCGGCCACTGTTTTATCTCATAACTGTCTATTCATATATTGGGTTAAAATGATTTGTATTTGATCTCACCCCTCTTGCATGGTTTTGCTGTGAGACTAATATTGCACTGCATGGTTTTAAACTGTTTTGAAACTCGAATTGATGATTTTTAACCATTTGAATACATTACTTTTAATACTCTCATGGAATAAATATTGATGTTGTACTGACAATTTGAGTCTCCTTAGTTTAATTGATGTATTACAATGACCTGGTCACACATGAAACACGCAAACCTTGCTGAGTGACCCAGCTGTTACGACCTTATCGTTCATCAACCATTTTCTTCAATTGACTTTTCATGAGTTTTTATGCAGACTGTTGTTTGCAACTCAACAGAGAGTATAGCCGAAACACATTTAGGTTCCTACTTGTTCAAAAATAATATTATAAATGACATATAAATCAATGGCATGACTACGATGGAGTATAAAGCCGCGTTCAGACCGGATCATGCGTCGCGTTGGGTTTCAATGCAAAGTCTATGGTGACGAGCGTTGCACGTCAAAACGCACCGACCTCCCGGCACGCACTTATGGACGCCCACAGGAGATAAACTTTGCTCAACTTTTCCTCGGGACGTTCGTGCAGCGACCAATCAGAGAGCTGCAAAGTGGTCACAGGGACATTGGTGGTCTGAGCGAGCAGACTGAACATACTTTTAACAGCCAAAACAGGAGCTACATCAGGACTAAACCAGGACTAAACCAGGGTTGACAATGACGGACTGTGTGCTTGTGAATATATGCGTTGTCATGCTCCCGTGACTTTATGCAACTGCTTCGAGTGTGTTCGCCGATGCGGAAATACCGTTTAATAATAAAAAAACACGTATGGCGCACCTCCGTGAACACATACTGCTGTTATATAAAGCCCGTGGAAAGTCTCTGTTCAAAGACACGCTGCAAAGCTGAATATTGGAGAAGATCTGTACACAAGAAGCCGCTAGCATAGCTCTGTTAGCATCAGAGCCGGCCGGCTACTTCCGGTTCTTCCGGCTCGCGTCAGGACGTTCTGGTGTGAAGTCCTCTGAGTCTGAAAAGCGGGCATCAACGTTTGAGCGTTTGCGGTCTGAATGCACCATAAGAGAGAAAAAAAAATATGATGAACTTTGAGATTAAAGTTGTGACTAAATCACTATTTACCAGATAAAAGATGCAATTATATCATTGTTTACAAGAATAAAGTCATAATGTTTAGGCGTACTGTTGTGGAAGACAGTAGAATGAGGGCCTTGGAGAATTTTGTGAAGTCGTACTTCAGCTTAGAGATAAGATAAGAGATCCTTTGTTCGTCCCACAGTGGGGAAATTTCAATGTTGCAACGCACAGACAGGACAGTAGTACGAGCACACAGGGAGCACACAAAATATAGCAAACAAGTTGTGGGTATGTTTCGTAACTTGCTGTAAATGCTGCAAACGCATCAAATACCAGTCTTTCAAAAAAATATAGGGCATATAGGGCAGGATAATAAGTGATAAAGTAAAGTGACATTGTTCAGTGGACACTCTGAAGTTGCAGTATTGCAAATTACAAATGATTTTAGTATTTTCTTATTCAAGATTTTCACAAACAAGGAGATACTTAATCCTTTGGTACATCAGCATCATATTATTATTGTCACAATTTTAGCATTAGGACTTGAAAATGCATCTTGTCTGGAGAAAGAACCGGACGGACTTGGAGAAAGTAATTTCCTTTTTGCGAGAATGAAATACAATTATTATTATTATTATTATTAAAAGCTCTTCAAAAACATAAGGACTTGAAAGATATTCTGTACATTCATATTGGTCAGATCCCACTTCGATCTCCGCACAAATTAGAACTGGAGCTGTAATAATTTCCCTTCTCAGTTTTGTTCCAGAGCTTCTGTGTTTGACACTGGAGTGCACAGTTCTTTGTATCTGTGTTTCCATGACCCGGCGGCTTCAGCTCACAGTCTATGGGCAAAAGGCCTCTTGACGATCGGCTGGAGTGGATCTGGAGTCGTGTTCATTAGAGTAAACAGGCTGTGCTCCAGAGATAGCAGCTCACCCATTGACCCATCCTCCTCGGCACTGAGCGGAGTCACATGAAAGCCCCCACACACAAGGCAAATGGCCCACAAATGACAGGATTTCATTTGTGGGCCATTCAAAATATTTTTTTTACTTTGGAATATAAAATGTAAAAAAAAACAAAAAACATTTTGAGTAGAAAATAAGTAGGAAGGATAAACAATGCTTCCTCCCAGTGACCACCTATGCTGCCTCCAGGAGGAGGGGTAGAATTTACTAATGAGCAGGCCGTCGCATCCCAATATTCTGAGGTTGTGTAACTGCAGTGGGTGTGTCTGTGAGTGTAACTTTGTAAATGGTGGGAAAGAGCAGCCTTTATGCAACATTGGTTTGAAACATTTTGAACAAACGTGCATTCTACGCACTTCGAACCATGATACTACATTGGTCCCAGATTCAAAAGGTTGTATTTATCTTCTAGAATTCAGTTTCAGTTGGAGGGTAGGTGCTAATACATCCTTATGTGGGGAGTCGATGGGTTTTAACATTGTAAATACGTGAGGTCAGGGTGGGCAGTTTTATTTTTAACTGTGCGACACTTTGGAAACACTTTTCTTTATAAAATGTGCCTTACAGATAAAGTGGATTTGGATTTAGGAACCAAGTCAGAAATGAGAGCTGCCACCCAATGCTCAGCATCATTCCCTCACTGATCCTCTGCAGGGTCCACAGGAAGATGGCTGCTATGTCAGTGGTGCCACAGCCTTGATGTTTCAGCGGGAGCTTCAGGCAAGAAGGGGTTAAGTGTCTTACCCAAGGACACAACGACAGCAGACATTAGTGGGAGAAAGGTTAGGGTTAGTTGGAATCAGAATCAGAATCATTTTTATTGCCACGTAAGTAACAGGAAGTCACAGACTTGGAAATTGCTTTGGCTCAGTGCAACAGTCAGGCACATGGTGCACACAATGTAAGGTGACAGCAGTACAGTGAAGTAAAGTGACTTTATAAAGGTTAAGAAGTGTTCAAGAGTCCAACAGCAGAGGGGAAGAAACTGTTCTTGTGGCGGGAGGTTCTAGTCCTGATGGACCGCAGCCTCCTGCCTGAGGGGAGTGGTTGGAATAGTCCATGTGCAGGGTGAGAGGGGTCGGCTGTGATACGACCAGCCCGGCCTCGAGCTCGGGCGACGTACAGGTCCTGCAGCGATGGAAGGCTGCGGCCGATCACTTCCTCTGCAGAGCGCACAATGCGCTGTAGTCTCTGTTTGTCCCTGACTGTGGCTCCAGCGAACCACACGGTGATGGAGGAGGTGAGGATGGACTCGATGATGGCCGTGTAGAACTGCACCAACATCTGTGCAGGCAGCTTGGCTTTCCTGAGCTGCCGCAGGAAGTACATCCTCTGCTGGGCCTTCTTGATGAGGGAGCTGATGGTCGGCTCCCACTTGAGGTCCTGGGTGATGGTGGTGCCCAGGAAACGGAAGGACTCCACGGAGGTGATGGGGGAGTCCATCACGGAGGGTGGGGGCGGGGGGACAGTGCTCATCCTGAAGTCCACAATCATCTCCACTGTCTTCTGGGCGTTCAGCTCCAGGTTGTTACCACTGCACCAGGACACCAGCCGGTCCACCTCCCTCCTGTAGGCGGACTCATCGTTGTTGGAGAATGAGTCCAATGAGGGTGGTGTCGTCCGCAAACTTGATCAGCTTCACAGAGTCGTGGCTGGAGGTGCAGTGGTTGGTGTACAGGGAGAAGAGCAGGGGAGAAAGAACACAACAATGTTCGTCACTCCCACTGACAAGTACTGAGGGAAGTACCAAGTGTAATTTGGAAATTCAAGAACAAAACTTCACACAATATTAATGGCTTTGTAAGATTGTACATAACTTAGTTACTTTCCTTCCTAAATGAAAATGGTTAAAGTAATCCCTTTAACCCAATTTCAAATTAGGAGACAAACATTGTTTCACCAATTAATAGACTCATTCCCCAGATTTTTTTTATATATTAGAAAAATGTTTTGACAAGAGACTTTGTGGTTTCATGAAAAAGCATCATTTTCTCTCTGGGTTCAGGCAAGATAGATCTACCTCAATTGCTCTAATTGACGTAGTGGAGGAAAATACAAATGGCATCGAAAAAAGTAACATTGCGTTAGCAAATTTCAGTGATCAATACCTTTGACCATTATATTTTAGTTACAAATTGAAAAACTATGGTGTTAGGAGATTAGCGAAAAAAGGAAGCGCCTTTTGGAGGAGGACTTCAGCACAGAGAGGTTTATGGTCAGAAGCAATGACTAAACCAAAGACATCTTCAACGTCCAAGCAGGAAAATCCCATCTCAAAGGTGCAGGACATGCCCCTCTAACCAATTGCTCGGTCATCATGTGGATACACAAGCCCCCGC